CTGACCTTGTGAGGAATGAACATATGTTCCTATGTAGTCCCTGTGAGAAGTTGGTACTTATGCCTGGGGAGTGCTTTTCACCCACTTCCAACAGAAGGACTCTTTATCAGCAGGGGGAATGAACTTCCATCACGGGAAGCTAGGAGGCCTGAAGAAAACTGTATAAGGTCGCCAATTACTTTGAAGCCTCAAGCTTTACATTTTAAAATCCCTACAAATTTTATATTCTACTCCACAATGAATCTATGCTTGTTTCAGTACAGAGATGACAAAAATTCCCAACTCTTCCCTCAGCCTATTTCCTTCCTAAATCTGTTTACTGATGTTACTATGTGGTTTGGAGTTCTTACCTCACATAGTCTGAGTTCGAAAAGTACAAATATAGGGAATACGGAACCAATCTCTCAAAGTATCTAGGTTTGAGGCTTGCTTTAAATAAAAATATCAAAAAATCTGTGGGCCATAGAGCTAGCAATAACTCAGAGATGAGCTGAGGGTCTAGCTCAGTGGGAGAGCCCTTGCCTAGCATGCCTGAGGCCCTGGGTTTTAACTTCAGCACCACCACCACCACCACCACCACCACAATAAAAAACCCTGAGAGATAAAAATTATCTTTTTACCATCCAATGTGCTAATGTTTTACATGCCTAATTTGATCACTTCAAAAATAAATGACCCCCCCCAACAGTATTTGTTCTTTTTTTGGTATCTCTCCTGAGTACATGAAGAGTCAAGATGTCTAATAAGTTCAGATGGACCACTGTGGATAGAGACTCCAAAAGTGCTTGATTACCTTAAAAATTATTGCCTTTCAGCTGGAATTTAATAAATCAAGAGAACCATTAGTGTTGGAAATTACTTTAAGTATTTTTTAATTACTTAAAACTAGGAAACATCTCAAACTAAAAACCCCAATAGTTGAAGTGATTGCTCTGTGGTTAACTGAATCAGTATTGTCAAAATCATGTTAAGGAATAATGCCCCCGCCCCCACTTGTGTGGGGGAGGTACTAGTGATTCAACCCACATGGTAAGCAAGCACTGAGCCACTGAGCTACAGCCCTAGTCTGGTAACATCCACTCCCCCCCACCCCCTTGTACGGAAGTTGAACCCAGGGGTGCTTAGCCACTGAGCAACATCCCCAGCACCACCACCTCCCCCCTTTTAAAAAATATTTTATTTAGAGACAGGGTCTCTAGGTTGCTTAGGACTTCACTATGTGGCTGAGGCTAGCTTTGAACTTGCGATTCTCCAGCCTCAGCCTCCCAAGCCGCTCAGTTCCATCACTGCAAAAAAAAAGATGATTACAGGCTGGAATTACTGGCGTGCACCACCTCGCCCAGCTGGTAACGTCCAAGTATTCTGTAAAGTAATTTGCTACCCTAATGAAAAAGTGTTTCAAAGGACATTCCGATCATTGATTATTAAATAGTTCATACAGAAACACCACCTTAAAGCAAGGAACAGCAGACAACCAGAACTAGTGCATGATTCGACTCACCGTGCAGCGTCAAATACTCCACGAGGCTCCACACTACAGTGGGAACGCCATTCTCCATGAGCCCCTGCCGCTGGAGCTCCTGGAGACTGACTCCAAATAACTTCTTACAGGTAGGATTCTTCTCTTCACTCAGTGGCACTGCCACTATCTTTTTCATATCTTCTTTCAGCCGAACTGCTGCTTTACTTTGCTTAAAAGAGCAAAAGAAAAAAGAGCAGTCAGACATAGTGACCACAGGAGGTTGCATGGTTACAACCGAAACATGGGATTAAAACACAAGTGTCTGGAGATGCGTAGTCGTGGTCTTCACTTAAATCAAAGTCTCCAGCATCTCTCCTATGTTGCTCAGTGTTACGAATTGGAGCACACTGATCTAATGGTTAAAAGGAATGAAAAATAATGAAACACCYAAAACCACAACTTAAGCGTAGCTAAGAGAGGAAGCAATACATGGCAGTATCCAAGATATATTCCTATAGTAACCACAGGGTGTGGCTCAGAAGTACCTGGTTAACAGGAGGATAAAACATTTGTAAGATCACTAACACCCCCGCCCCTGAAGATCCTGAGATAGTGAGATGTATCTAAAGATGAAAATTTATCTATATGTCCTTATAAAGTAGCTTTAAGTTCAAGTATAAAAATAAATTATAAATGTGGAATGGACATTTTACTTCTCTGATCTGATTAGATCTGTAATCATTATGTTCACTTAGTAATTTTTCATCTCATTAAATCAATTCATTTCTCATTGAGGTACAAAATGCCAGAGCTTCAAAACAGCAATATTTTAGGGTGGCACAATTTATAATTATTTTTGATATTTATTTTTTAGTTCTCGGTGGACACAACATCTTTGTTGGTATGTGGTGCTGAGGATCGAACCCGGGCCGCACGCATGCCAGGCGAGCGCGCTACCGCTTGAGCCACATCCCCAGCCCCACAATTTACAATTTTTTGACAAACTTTATATTACAAATAAARAAATGCAACTTATATTCAACTGTGCAAAGTTATTACCCTGATGAAAAAAAAATCCATACAAGCTTGTCTCTTCCTTTAAAAGAAATACATCTCAAGGAAGAGGAATATTTTGGGGGCATGCTATGCTTTAAAATGTTATGTACATATAAGTATATCCAAGTTCTGAAGAAGCAGATGGCAAAATGAGAACAATTTCATTTGGGGACAGAGGTAGAAGAACTGGGGAACCAACTAGCTTTCAGAGAATAAATATAGCCACTAACCAAAATATAAACATTATTGAATGACTATAGGTTAGTCATCATAATATCATAAGAGTAGAAACTATCTATAGAGCTGAAGAAAGAATAGAAAGTTAAGTAATTTGGTAAAAGTCCAGTAAATGTTTCACATTATTCTAGATCCATGTTTCTTTTCTTAAGTTTGTATTAATGTTATACTGTACTTTGTGTATAATTATAGTAACAATATAAATGCCACATGTGACACAGGATAATTAATCACAAGTTATTTCTACAATTTGTATTTGAGTAGGATCCTTGAAATTTCAATTTGATTTTGAATTTTAAAATCTACAGAATCAGACCAATTTTCATTGACATCTTAGTATCTTTTAATAGGTCCCTTTTGAAAACTGAATCTCCCTAGTAAAATTTCAGCAGGAATGAATTTACCATATAGAATTAGTATCAGTTAATATTATAGATATGCCATAGTTTTAGCTATGATAGAGTAGTATTGGCAAGAACCACCGATATCCACTAGGAAATGATAATCTTATTAATTTGGCCAAATTTGTAATAGCTAATCATTTTTTCTTGTAGTTTTATAAACATATCAATCTTTTTTAATTGAATACACAGGAAAGTTCAACCAGGTTTATCTGCAGCCAAAAAAATAATAATAATCAGTAATAATGAAACTTTGAAAACAGACTCAAGCATAGCATCAAAAACAGCTGCTGGGGCTGAGGGTGTACAGTGGTAGAGGGTGTACAGTGGCCTAGCAATGTGCAAGGCCCTCAGTTCCAACCCAAGAACTCCAAAAAGGAGGAGGGGAAAAAAACAAAGCAAAACTGAGCTGAGGTTAAATTACACAAATGCGGCCTCACTTTTACTCTGTCTTCTTACAGAGACAATATCAGTGGTGAGAGCACGGACTGTGGGCGTCTACTGCCTGGGCTGCAGGAGTTTCAGTTTCCCTTCAGATACACGACGTCCCTGACTCGCGTTAACAGAAACTGAACCAAAAACCACAGCACTAAATGAGGTGTTTGGAAACTACCCTGTTTCTACTTTGTTTGTATATAAATTCCCATTTATCATTTGAGTTTGAAGACAGGACTCAGTTGGGTGTGTATGTGCATGTGTGTATAAAAGCAACAGAGAAATGCCATATATAAAAGACAGGACACCTTAGGATTCTACTGTTAGGTGATCCTTAGATGTCATTCAGTGCTGATGTTTTCGCCTTGTGAAAAAAGAAGCCAAAATCCAAAAACTTGCGGTGAACTCAGTGACAAAGGGCTAGGTCTCAGGCCCAGAGCTTATACCAGTATTCTTTTTCATAATGAAGTTCCAGTGGCCTTGTTTATTTATGCCTTCATTTATTTTTGTTCAAAAAACATTTAAGGTAAAGCTAACAAAATGCACATTCTAGGACAACAGCAAATATTTTTTGTTTCAGGGCCACCTACTCCCCTTTTGTCTTTTGTTCTGATAACACACCTTGACTACATTTTGGGGAATAACAGCACCTTCACAGAAGAGCTTGGTGGGGTGACCCCTCAAAATGACCACCCTGCCTCTAGCAAGGACTGGCCTCTGAATCCCCACCAGGTGAACGGGCTTTTCTCCTGCAGGCCACTGAAGTGTGAGTGGCTTGTCGCACAGACTGAAAAATGATACCAAGACAGTTGATAACTCTTGCTGCCTGCATCGCGGGGGCTGAGCTGGTCCTTTCAGCAGACCTGTCTGACACTTTTGCTGTCCTGCCACTTGGGGCGCTGCTCCATAACTTGCCAGTAGAGTGTCTTGGAGATTAAGTTAGCACATCACTAATTGATGAACATAATAATAATATCTGAGAAGATAAAAATCAGAGCAAAAAGAAAGTGGGAGTCTTAGAAATAAAAGAAAATCAGAGTGGTGAAGCTATCTTTGACAGTCATAGCTCCAGATGCTTGGGGTGGCTTTACTCAATAAATCTTAGTAAAGAAACATTAGGAAGAGAGATACTTTAGTGATCCCCACTTCCCAGAAAGGACTCCAGAATGTGCTCCAGGTGACATCAACTATGTGGTACAGTCAGGAGTCACAGTCAGGCAAGCTGAGCTGAGGGGCACATTCTTGATGTTGCCTCCATATATGAAAGGTGACAACCAAGGATGCATGTTGTGAAGACCAGTGCACTTCCTAGAAATAAACAGCAACATTCATGCTCTCATAGCAAAAAAAAAAAAAAAAAAAAAAAAAAAAGATTTTTTTAAAATGTTTCATGTTTCTTAGTTTGTATATCTATCCATTTGACATGGGTTGCCCAGGCTAGCCTCAAATTCCTGGGCTCAAGTGATCTTCCCATTTCAGTCTCCCAAGCGGCTGGGATTACAGGTGTGTGCCACTGTGCTGGCTCTCTCGGTTTTCTTAACACAAAGTAAGATATGTATACCAGAAATATTGCTATTTCCAACATTAGAACCTGAATAGAGAAGGCTTTCATCAACACAGTAAATAGGACAAGTTTCAGAAGTCTTCAGTTTTTATAATAATTATCATCTCTTGAATGTTGATTTTGTTACAGATCTCTTTAAAATTAATGCCTCTAAGTTCTCAAAATCACCTATTAGCAGGTACTCTTACTGTTATGGTTTGGATGTGAGGTGTCCCCCAAAAGCTCACATGTGAGACAATGCAAGAAGGTTCAGAGGAGAAACGACTGGGTTGTAAGGAGTCTTAATCCAATCATGCTTTAGTCTCTGCTTTAATTCATTCCTAACAGGGATGAACTGAGTGGTAACTGAAGTGGTGGGGTGTGGCTGGAGAAGGTGGGAATTGGGGCATGTCTTTGGGCATATATTTGTATCTGGCGAGTGGACATAATCTGCTTCCTGATCACCATGAAGGCTGCTTTCCTCTGCCACACTTTTCCACCATGATGCCCTGCTTCATCTTGGGCCCCAGGAATGGAGCTGGCTTTCTATGGACTAAGACCTTTGAAACTGTGAGCCCTCAAATAATCTTTTTCCTCCCCTGCAATTGTTCTAGTTGATTCMTTTAGTCACAGCAGCTAAAACACTTAGTATTTCCATTGTGATTTAAAAATAAAAAAACTTAGGCGCTAAGGAAAAGAAACTTTTTGCTACATGGACAGTAAGTTGTAGAGCTAGCGTGTAACCCCAGGTCCTTGGGCCCCTGGGCTTGAGCTCTTAACCATAATGCACTRTGGAGTCCCAGATTTTAATACGGAATTCAATTTTAGACTACTGAACTCAATGTTCTTGAATTCCTTGAGGCAATCCTCCATGAATTTAAATACCATGAATTTAAGGTACTAGGAAGGATAATCAGATTACACTGCTGGTTAAATTCAGAACTACAAGTCTCAAGACTCTTTGGGACAAGAACTAGAGCTAATCAATCTAACAAAGACCCTATAGAATAAAAAGCAACCACCATCTAATAAAAGAAGTGAAAGGAAAGCATAAGCTGAACCTGAGAAATCTTGTTCCAGAAATTTAGACTGGTTCAAGGACCAAGGGGTTACATTCAAACCCACAGAATGAACAACACAAAAAGTGACACTAATATAAAGTATGGAATCTAGTAAATAATAACTTATCAATATTGGTACATCACTTATATCAAATACCCCTCTCCATATAAGATGTTAATAATAGGAGAAACAGGGAAGCAGAGAGGAAGGGTTATGTGGAAACTATATGTTTTGCTCATTTTTCTGCAAACCTGAAACTGCTCAAAATAATAAAGGTCTACCAATTAAAACAGAACAGCCAACTGTCTTACTGGGATAACCGGGTAAATCTGGCATGTGCTGGATATTAGAAGGAGGCATGTAAATGTCTTGGGTATAATAACATGATGTACTCCAGCTATAGCATTTCTTGTTCTTATGAGGTCCATGCTTGAAATAGGAGTACAGTGTTATGGTGTCTTCAAATACTTTAAACCTTTTAAACACCAAATGACT